TTAATATTTTCTTATATGCATTTTATTAGAAACTTATTTGATGATTTTTTAATATTTATTTAGATTTTTATTTTTTAATATTTCTTTTTTGGACATGAATTTACCTCGTAATATGACAAGAAGCCTGTTGCATTGGTCGCCTCTCCAGCTTCGCCGCCGCCATAGGTTGGCGCGTTTAATCCGTGTACGCTACTCGCCGCAAGTGAAAATGATCGGCCGTACAATGGGGTGCCCATGATCAACTTTTTCGGATTTGCACCTTTCTCTATCCAATAATGGATCGAAAAGTTCTAGTAACAAAGAACTAAGTATTTTTAAAATTTTTGATATTATTAGTATAATTCCCATGCTAAATAATTCTCGAAGTAAAGCTTACGGCATTAAATGTCGGTTTCCAGTCATTCGGTAAAGAATACAGCGGTGCTACGTGGCCAGTCTTTTTGTCCCATTGACCATGGAAGTCGTACGTCATCACGGATATCCAGTCCAGGTATTTGGACAGGATAGGAACGTCGTATCCCACGTCGATCACTCTCTTGCTTGGCGATACTGCCGCAGAGAGAAGTAATTTTCGAGGCTTAAACTTGTTACTCAGTTCCTTAACCAGCTCAGCGAAGCTTTGCTTGTCAGACTCCGGGCCCTTGTTGCAGTCCGCTTGCCAGCATACCGGATATTTCCAATCGAGATCGAGACCCTCGAAACCATACTTCTTGATGAAGTCAAGAACTTGCGTGATAAATCTTCGCCTAGCCGACGGCGAGTTTACCAGTCTACTGTATTTGTCGCCGGCCGAATCGTTCCAGCCTCCCAGTGCCATCAGCACTTTCAGACCCTTTGCCTTGAACGCCGCCACCCTTTCATAAAACTTGTTGTCTATATCGAACCTGGGATCGTCGGATTTCATCGTTAAGCTACTACCGTCTAGCACGGAGAATCCGTAAAGCACATGGGTACAGAGATCGGAGTCTATATCAAATACAAATCTGCCACCCTCTTGCCGATACCAGGCCCAGTTAGTGAAATAGCAGATGACTTTAAACTCGCCGGAACTGTCGCGATCCACTGTCGTAGTCGTCTGTATCGCTTGTGTGGGCTTGACGGTCCACGTTGTAACCGCTCCTGTACCTAATAATCATAAGAAATAATATTAAATGTTATTAAAAAATTAGACGTAAAAAATACTATTTTAATATAATCAATATTTATACTTTTTTTATATAATAGACTCCAAACTTTATATTTTTCTACATATTGTATATATCGTTGAGATATTTTTCTATTTTGAAAATAATATTAACATCTACCTTCTGTAATGGGACACAGCGGGCCCTTCGGATAATTCCTTAAAACTCGATTCATTGTTCTCAATAGCGGATTAGGCTCGCAGCCGCATCTGTTGTTGAAGTCGTCCAGATCTAAGGCCCAAACACTACCACCGCCAAGACCAAGTTTCTTGATCAGTTCTGCCTTCAGTTTAATTTGTTGAGCGTCGTCGAAGCTCACCCACTGATCATCTTTGTAGGCATAAGGGCCGATTCTTCTGTCTTTATCCTGAACGACTGTCCATCCCTTCTTCAACGTTCTTTCACATATCTGTCATAAAAGCAAAGAAATGGATATTTATTTACTCCTGGAATAAATGTACATCTTCAGGATATTAAAAATTAAAAACTTTTTATTTGCAGCTATTAATTAATGCAGATTTAATATTTTCTTATATGCATTTTATTAGAAACTTATTTGATGATTTTTTAATATTTATTTAGATTTTTATTTTTTAATATTTCTTTTTTGGACATGAATTTACCTCGTAATATGACAAGAAGCCTGTTGCATTGGTCGCCTCTCCAGCTTCGCCGCCGCCATAGGTTGGCGCGTTTAATCCGTGTACGCTACTCGCCGCAAGTGAAAATGATCGGCCGTACAATGGGGTGCCCATGATCAACTTTTTCGGATTTGCACCTTTCTCTATCCAATAATGGATCGAAAAGTTCTAGTAACAAAGAACTAAGTATTTTTAAAATTTTTGATATTATTAGTATAATTCCCATGCTAAATAATTCTCGAAGTAAAGCTTACGGCATTAAATGTCGGTTTCCAGTCATTCGGTAAAGAATACAGCGGTGCTACGTGGCCAGTCTTTTTGTCCCATTGACCATGGAAGTCGTACGTCATCACGGATATCCAGTCCAGGTATTTGGACAGGATAGGAACGTCGTATCCC